CGTAGAAGCTTTGCCTTTCTTTACTCATGTGCAAAGACATTTAAGGGGCTACTCCATGCGAACGACCTTGAGCATTTGCCGGCGGCGCGCCGCTCGCTTCAATATATTGCTTAATATGAAATATATAAGACGCCACCTATTGTAGGTAAAAGAACGTAGTATTATTTTTTCAACATCAATAAACTAATTTATGGAAATACACACAGCGTACAACGATAAATGTATTTTAATTTTTTTATTCGGTGTATTAGTTGCATTATATTAAAATTATGTATTTTCATATATTATCTAATTATGAAATTTTATAATTAATTATATATTAAAAATGAAGCATTGAAAATTGTGAGTTTAAAAGATACCTATTCACTATAGGTAAATAAATAGATAGCTCGCCTTTTGTACAAATATTTGGTGCAATAAAGAATAAATAAATAAATAGGATGTTTCGTAGATGTGTTTTTGATTATTGTTAATTTTTACGTGTCACGTATTGAAAAGTAACATACCTACCTACAAATTTTTGAACTGAGCACCTTGTAACTTAGCCTGCTTATTACTTATGCTGGCAGACATTATCCTCGCCCCAATGATTGATGAGGATGAAAATCAATTTTATTTCTACATACGTAATTATATTTATTTATACATAAGGGTAACTTTAATAAAGGTAATACAAAAATCAACAAGAAGTATAAGGGTTCAATCTTTCAAATTCAATTGTAAAAAAACGTTCCCCCACACTAGGATTTTCTCCTGTGTCGTGGAGGCAGTTTACAAACATAAATTGCACAAGGACAAACATCCAGACCCGGAACAATTATTTGTAGGCCATACAAATACTTGTTCCGTGCGAGATTCGAACCCGCGGCCCCCAGCGCAACAACTGATTGCTAAGCCACTGCGCCACGGAGCCGTCGCCGGGTTATAGCTAAAGTGACCATACGTCCCGTTTTGAACGGGACTGTCCCTTTTCTCAGTCACCTGTCCCATTGTCCCCAAACAAAGCTCCGGGACACAAAATTGTCCCGTAACTCGTTGGATTGAAGTATTCGAAGTCAACAATCTTCAACATAATTTTTTTAATCGAATATATTTTATGTCTACCTGGTACGAATGCTCCGGTAGAAAGAGTATTTTTTTATTTTGAATAAATTTGTGGACGTCTGAAAGAAACACTTACGGTTCCAGAGTTCTAAAGGCGATGTTGTTAACAAAGATAACAATAAAAAAAACTTGAGCAGAATTTTATTTTTATTTAAAATCATTACCAACTTTATTAAAGCAAATTTAATCCACTGACAAATGTAATTAATAATAAAAAAATATGTTGCATTTAATAATTACCGTCTATACCGAATATAATTTTACAGTGAACACTAATTGTATAAAGTTATAGTTTTTAGAGTATAAATAAACCCATGTCCTGTTTTGAGTTAAAAAATAAATGGTCAGTTTAGTCTTTTTAGTTAAATTATTTTTAAATTTTTTTACTTAATAGTAAAAAGTAGGTATATTAGTACCTACTTAGATACTTTTTACCGAATTATAAGTATAGAACACCTTATGTACTCAATTATTTTTTGAAAAAGAAGAAAAAACAAGCAATAAATAATATACTATATTTCAGCAAAAAACTATAACTTAGTAAAACTAATTATAACTTAGAAAATAAATGAAAAACTCATAACTGACTTTTTGGCCCGACCCAGGATTCGAACCCGGGACCTCATGATCAGCAGTCGCACTACTACAACCACTAGACCAACGAGGCAATACTATACTTAATAAGAAATTGTGGTTGGGTGATAATATTGAATTAGTCTTTTATAGTGTAAATTATAATATTTGTCGAAATTTTAATTATGGATTCGAACCTTACATGCTAATGGTGCTTCATTTTTTTATTTGCATTTACTTCAAAGAAAATACACGCAAAAAGCTTCATCGCACAGTAAAAAACACAACAAATATATGTATAACTAATACGAAAAATTATACCATATACCATAATAAATAAATTATACCATATATACATATATTAAACAAACAAATAATACTACCTATAAATAACCTAATAAGTAATATTATTATCGACTGATATGACGTGAGTGCATGCGCTGGTCGACGCTCTAACGACACGGGCTTCACGTCGAAGAGCTCAGGGCTCACTGACTTCAGCAAGCCCGTGAGCAGTGAATATGCCCAGATTTTAAAATAATTTCTTAATAAAATCAAATTTTGGTCTTTTGAAAAAAACTTTACTATAGAAATGTTCATTAATAAATTGCCTATCCATTGGTGTAAATCGCAAAATAAAATAATACTTACTTTACGACGAGATGCATGTTATCAATAATAATTTCACATTTATATGGTTTCGTTGTAAGGAGATTATATTAATATTTATCCCTTTAAAAAAAAATTGGATATAGCTTTTATGGAATCAAGATTATGTAGAAATATAATGTGTTTTTTATTTGTTGATATATCTTTTAAATAAAAAGTAGATAGCTCCTAAAAACCGCACAAATAACGATTAGCGCGACATTTTGCTCCACCTGCGCCTTAAGTAGTAGTATTAATAGACTGGACATCAGCAGCAAAATTGTCGTCTGTAACTTTTGTCCTATAGGATATATCTCCGATTTTTGTCATTTAGTCTTAGTGACATCGTCAAAAAGTCAAGACGCATTTGTTTCATACATTTAAAAAATATTTTTAAAGAAAATATGCCCGGTTGTGCATTAAGATATTGTAAGTCACGATATGGAGCAAAAAATTAACGTCATTTCGGTTTCTTATCGTAAGTATAAAATACATTTACCGAATAATCTTTAAATTTTATTATTTCTAGTAGATTGTCCTAGAACATTTATTTTTATTGTAATAAGCGCCCTGTGTTATCCAGTAAACGTCACTATTTAGTTACCAATGTTAAAGTTAGTGATTGACGACTTTATCAATTGGGGTTATCGATAAAAAAATATAAGTACAGAATGCAAATCTAATCACACGCTTCACTGTTTGGTGGCTTTACACCGGGCGTCATTGTCTGGTGGTTTTCTTGGACAAAGCCATTATAGATCCTGGCTTACAGTGATAGGAGAGGGCTAGAGGTTTGTTTTCTACGTGGTAGAGCCATGCTGCAGCTATATTATGGTTGTAGCACGAATGGGTCGGCTCGACCAAATAAATAAATATTGGTTTGAAGTAGGTTTTCATATGTAAAAGTGGTGTAATTTTGTATATTAAGTGTCTGCGCATGTGAACTATTAGTGGAAACGGTGAAACCAGTGCTCTGATGGTGATGTGATTCTTAAGATAAGGTGTCTCTCTGCTTAGGTGCTTTGAAATACCATCACCAACTGTTAGCTGTCTGCTGGCTCAAGTTGCCGTCAAAATCTCCCAAGGGTTGCACAATGTGACGCATCAACATATTGTGAAGCAGTGTACTATGAAGGATAATTATACATTGTAACTTCAGGCTCAGAAGGGCTAGAATCGAGAGCCGGAAAGCCAGTTATAAAAAAAATGAACACTTTGACATTGACATTACAGATTCACAGAGTACATTGTGCACATTGTGCGACATTGTGTATATAATTGACAAATGAGCAAAATTTTATATGATAGTAATTGTGTTCTGTGTTTAATATTCAGTGTGACCATATGTGGCAGGTTCCTGCCATTTTGGTAGGATTGGCCTCTTATTTTAGCCTCTGGCATGATCGGTTGACGTTTTATAAAACCTGGCAGTATTTGGCAGTATTGGGGTATTAAAAATATATTTCATCATGGCAACTTAAAATGATGAAAATGGTAACGCCTAGATACTTCGCCAGCATGTTGGGGATTTCCCTGTATTTCTCGGTTTCTCGTTTTATGCTTGTATCACATTCAATAAACAACTTTAAAAAAATATATGTATAAAATTGATAATCTTAACACGAGTTGGTTAATATTTCAATCAGTCATAAAAGAGACGTACTTTAGTTTGGTATAGAATTAGATTTCATTATCACCATAGGTGGCGGTGATGAAGCGAAAATAAGACAGGGCGTTTCGAGCGAAGTGGAAGCAAGATCTTTTATTTCCATCATGGATCTCAAAAGCTAAAGATGATCCAGACTGTGTAATTGCAAATTGGCACCCCGTGTGTGCGCTCAAAAGGAGCATGCCGCTACTAGTAAACACCAACAAAATATGAGTGGATTCAGCATGCGAAAGAATATTCTCGAAAATAAATTTAATTTGCACAAAAACACGAAACAGATTTATAAACTAACATGAAGCGTATATCTTGTACGTTAAACAAGCATGGAGATTGCATTGCATTCGAACCAATGAAAGATATGTTTAATTTTAATTTAAAAAATACAGCATTTATATGTGTATTTTGACTTTTATTACTTTAATACAATGTTAAATAAAGTTGGCAGCATTTTTCATTACAGATTTTGGCAGGATTTGGCAGGTTTTTAACCAAAGTGTGACAGGATCTGTATTTTAAAGATGGTCACACTGTTTATATTGTCATTGTCAATAAGGGTATTAGTGTTCTGTGTTGTCAATTGTGTAAGTGATTGTGATGTGAGTGAGTGGGTGACTAGTGATTTTAAATAACATAAATTATTTATTATTTGTGTAAGACTAGTTTGTGAGTGGCTGACTAAGTGCTGAGAGTAAATGTAGTAAAATTAAATTACTGTGATTACATTTCTTCTTGGGAGGTTGTGCTGTGTTGGTTACGGTTCGGTTTTGGTCTTTAGAATTTCGTAATATAAATTATTGTTCGTGTTATAATTCTTTCTTGGTGTAAGATTTTCAATTCCATAATGAAAGTGCGACAAATTAATGTTCTAATTCTTTAGGGCAGTGGTAGCTGTGCACTTTATTTATAATTTACAGTATTTGTATATAATACGAAATACGGTGGTTCAAATATATTCCTATTTTGTGTTAAAAGAGAAATTTTCATATTACCTCATTTTCATCCAAAAATGGTTGAAGCAAGTAAACATTGGTTTGAGAAAGCTTGCAGTCATGCACCATGCAATACTCTTATACATCCCTGGACCCAGAAATGTACTGATGCTACTGCATCTATGCTAATGAGTTGCATTAAAGGAAGTTATAAGTTCTATGCCATGGTGTACCTTGTAAGTTTTAGTATTCAATATTAGTAACATATAATAATTCAATAAATTATTCATTACAGTGGAACGACAACCTATTAAGATATGTAGGAAGTTCATGTATGCAGCTGGCTCAGGACCGTGCTTTGTGGCATCCCTTGGGGGAGGCATTTGTTCAGCAGTGGAGTTGTGAAGGGCTGTAATGAATAAATAAATAAATGAAATCATTACAGCCTATGAAATTCTTTTATAATACTTATAACTTGGGGTATGGATTCTCTTATGCCAGCATTGCACTACACTTTATCATAATAACAGAGCAAGAACAAAATTGTATCTTTTTCTATAAGTAGTGTTTTTATGTTCTCAAAATTATTATACTACATATAATTTAAAATAAAAAATTTTGTACAACAACTTTAATATAAATTATTAAGAATAACTCATAAACTATAGGTTAGACCTTGATCAAATTTATATGGGACCATATGAAAAGCACCAGCTTTCAAATAAAAAAAGAATCATTGAAATCGGTTCACCCAAAAAAAAAACGTTATGAGGTAACACACATCAAAATTAAAATAAAACATACAGTTGAATGGAGTACTTCTTCCTTTTTGAATTTAGTAGAAAACTTAGTTACTGTTTTTGACTAAGTCAGGGATTTTGGCATGCATTTTATTCTCTTTTGTTCTTATACATTTATTATGTCCTTCAATGTATAGATAAGCTTATAATATGTTAAAGTTTACATTTTGTATTTAGTGTAGATAGATAGAGGTATTATTACATAATCACTATATACAGTCCATAAATTATCTACAGTCTGGTTATTATTATAAGATGTGTGACTTAAATGTGCATTTCTCTGGAATGCAACCTCTTTCCCACTTTGTTTCGTGTGTTCATTAGTGATAATTAATCTTTTTTATATCTATTTTTTTTGTTTTTATTTATAACCAGACGATCCCTGCGACTTCGCTGAAGTGGATTTTACTTGAATTTCATGAGATTTAATTTGTTTATTCGGAACCCTAATTCTTTTTCTAAAATAAAAATATCCTAAGTTACTCTTTATGGCATCAGCTATTTGCCAGTGAAAGTCCTGTCAAAATCAGTCAAGCCGTTTTGGAGATTAGCCGGAACAAACAGACAGACATACAAAAATTTTAAAAATTGATATTTTGTTATTAGTACCGCATATACTTTCATATGCATTTAGTAAAAAGCTGTTATTTTAACATTACAAACAGACACTTCAGTTTTATTTATTTGTATAGATTACAATACAAACTTCACCTGTGAATGTTGAAAAAAAAACAATACAAACAATAACAATGAAAAAAAATTGATGGCTCCGTGGCGCAGTGGCTTAGCAATGAGTTATTGCGCTAGGGGTCTGTGGGTTCGAATCCCGCATGGAACAAATATTTGTATGGCCTACAGATAATTGTTCCGGGTCTGGATGTTTGTCCTCATGCAATTTATGTTTTTAAACTGCCTCCACGATACAGGAGAAAATCCTAGTGTGGGGTTAATGTTTTTTAAACAAAAAAAAAAAACAGAAATAAATGAATATTGCAAACAGTACAGAGGTGCACAGTTAAGTCGCTCGGGTTGTTATGAGTTGTATAATTATTTACTTTTTATTTATATTCTAGCTTGTTTGTGGCTCTTATTATAAAAAAAGATGAAAAAAGCCAAGGACTTGTTCTTGTACCTTTTACATGTATTGCAGCAGCATGACAGTCTCTGCAGTTTGTTAATAATGAGAGGTGACCTATGCTGATATGGATAATTAATATAGCCTATTACTTTGTTAATAATTTGAATGTCTTTAAAATTCCTTTTTATATTGTTGTCACATTTTAATTATGAATTTGTTTCCAGATACAAATATTAATGAAAGGCAAGAAGTTGGGCAAGCAAGAAATGATTGAACAGTTCAAGTTATATTTAAAATCAGGAATATTTGGCCTCACTGTTGGAAGCTCATTTGTTACTTTGAACTGTATATTCAGGTAAAAAGTTAGATACTTAATTATAAATAAAGCCAGCCAAGTGCGAGTCAGGCCTCGTTCTATAGGGAATAAAAATGAGTGAGCCATGTGGCAGCTTCTAATATTCTACTTCCTGCTCTCTTGTGGGCAGGTTGATTCTTCCACTTTTGAAGCATGAGCTGTCTATGATGTGGTATCCCTGTATGACTCCAACGGTCTGTGCCTCTGAGGTCATCAGTGTTATTGCCGTCAGAACACCAATCCGAACAGAAGTCCTAATGAGCTTGTGTGGCTCACCTGATGATAAGTAATCATCACCGCCCATGAACAACTGCAAAACCAGAGAAATTGCAGGTGCATTGTCGGCCTTTTAATAAGAATTGGACACTTTTCTTGAAGGTTTTTTTTTAATAGAATAAGGGTGACAAACAAGCTTATGTCCACCTGATGATAAGTGGATATTGTGGTCATAGATATCATCATCTTTTCTTGATTAAGAATAAAAATGCAGATGCATTGTCACCCCTGATGACTAAGATGTAATGCCTGTAAATGTTTCCAGTAAAAAGGGTCTACTAGTTTTCTACACTCAACATACGAAACACTGCAGCATTATTCTGCTGTTTAAAGCTGGTATTCTGTGAGAGCGTGATCCTACCATGGATGAGCTGATCCATTCGTGCTAATATCATAATATAGCTGCAGCAAGGTCTCTAAGCCGTATCGGTCTGGAATATAGCTGGTGGTAGCCAATTCAAAGAATTCGAATGAGGAAGAAAACTTCTGGTAAATCACATAGTAGTGAACCCCAAGCGTACAGATGGTGTGGATGGTCTCTTAAATTTTGTAGCATATTATGCGAAAGCGGAATTAGGCGACAGCCGGAATTGTTAACTTTCGATGTTTAATGAATATTTTGTAAATTAATTAAAGTATTCTGTGGAAACAGTTTGATCTGTTTTTCTGCATTTAGAAACAAATTGTGTGCTGTAAGTATATCTAGCATTTGGTTAAGCCATTCCACATTTTTGTACCATACAAAGGAGATAATTGTGTAGACCCAGTACAAAAAAGTTCGATTCTAATCCAATCACACGTCCTGATGATAGTAGTATATATATGTGTGAATAGTAGATAGACGTTGGTTATGGACTGGAATGAATATAGACCATTGATTACATCCTTTTGCTGTGACTTGAAAGTTATGACTATAAGAAATCAAATGCGATGCGTTTACTGCGGCACTATATGAATGCCGCCAATTTAAGTTTATAAATAAAAAATTTATGGTCCACACAATCGAATGCCTTTGAAATATCACAGAAGTTACCGACGTGCTTTCACATTCACTTTTATAAAAAGGATAAAACAATCCATAACTTGCAAACGTTGTAAACAAATGTGTGTTATTATGTAGGTACATATATTACTTTGATAATATAAATAAACATTATTGCTTATTGACATAAACAGTCAAAAAAATGTATATTGGGAACATGTTTTCTTTAATTTTTTTCTTTATGAAATCAATAAAATAATTGTGTATTTATTTTTTTAACGCGTTTATTTTTACTAATTTTTTATACTCGAGCATTGTAACGGGTGGTTGGAATTGGAATTTACCTTTATTTTTGTCCATTCTAAATGAAAGCTTGGGTTTGCATTTTATTTTATTACATATTTCTTTGTCCTAAGCTAAATTCTAAATATATATTTATTTAGAATTTAGCTTCGACCGCATGGACAGTTTCCACAAGCTTGTCATTCATATCGTCTACTGCATTGCAATCTTCTGGGCACTAAAAACGATTTTGTAACTCGATCTGAAAGGTTTCGGGACTTTGGATCAGACCACGATGGGGACGGAGCGTTGACTTCATTAGACGACACCTCTCCAACTTAACATTTAGGTTCAGTGTGCCTCTAATCATTCACTACCAGTTTTCACCCTCGCGATCACTGAGACATCACTGAACGGTTGTCATCTGGTCGTCATAATGAAGTCAATCTCATTTTTTGTCGAAACGTCAGGGCTTGACCAGGTCCACTTTCTGTGGGCCGGTTTTGGAAAAAAAAAGAAGTTCATCATAAAGAGTCCCTTTTTCCCCACAAATTCGGCCAGCTGCTGGCCTTTTGGGTTCCGTTGCCCTATTCCGAATTTCCCTACTTTCAGCTCACCGTTCTGTCTTGTGCCTAGTTTTGCGTTGTAGTCTCCCATTAACGCCGTATTGTGGGTTTTGGAGGAATGCATGGCTCTAGAGATATCCTCATACATTTCCTCCACGTCCTCATCGGGATGTGCCGAGGTTGGTGCGTAAACCTGTATGACCTTCAGCGAATACCGTTTGGTGATTCTGAGTATAAGGTACGCAACCCTCGTCGACAAACTCCCAATCTTTACAAAGTTGTTAACGAGAGACTTGTGGTCTTGTGGAAAAACTCTCCGATCACACTCTTAATCTCATGGATGTTAGACGGGAGATGAAACTGCAGTCTTCAGCAGATTTGACAGCATACAGGCAACTGAACATACAGATCTCCAAATGCATGCGGCGAGATTTGCGCAACTTCAATACAGCTCTTATTGAAGAAGCGATCGAGCGGAACCAGGGCTCAAAGTCTTCGCCAGAGATCTGTCCGTCAGAAAGAGCCAACTGTCGAAGCTGAAAACCGAATGAACCAGCATCGTTTCCGGGACGCCTGAGATTTTGTGTGTGATTGAGAGGTTCTATGGGCAGTTGTACACGTCATCGTTGGAGCCACACGCGAAAGTGAGTAACGATCCAAGAGCAATTCTTATCCGAAACTATTCCGATGATATCCCGGACGTCAGTCTGAGTGAGATTAGAATGGCTCTCCAGTACCTTAAAACGGCAAGACGATATGTGACGATATAGTCCTTATGGCACAATCGCTGGAGGACCTAAGCACTATGCCCAATGACCTCAATAGTGTCTCCAAACGGATAAGTCTTAAGATGAACATGAACAAAACAAAGATCATGTTTATAACTATAACCGTAGTCGTTGGGAGCAGTAAGCTCGAAGATGTTGACGAATATGTTTGCCTAGGACAAATAGTCCGACTAGGTAAGTCCAACTTCGACCGAGAGGTCAATCGACGGATTTAACTCGGCTGGGCAGCGTTCGGGAGATTACGACACATCTTCTCGTCAGGCATATCTCAAAACCTCAAAACTAGGTTAAACAACCAGTGCCTGTTGCTAGTGATGACCTATGGAACTGAGATGTGGTCCTTCACCGCTGGCCGTATAAGAAAGCTCAAAGTCGCTCAGCAAGCTATGGAAAGGGCTCTGCTCGGCGTTTCTCTGCGTGATAGACTTAAAAACGAGGATATCCGCAGTAAAACCAGAGTAATCGACATAGCCCAAAGGATTAGTAAGCTGAAGTGGCAATGGGCCGGGCATATAGCTCGAAGAACCGACAACCGATGGAAAAGAAAGGTTCTCGAGTGGCAGCCTCGTACTGGCAGGCGAAGTGTAGGGCTCCCCCCACTAGATGAAGTGACGACCTGGTAAAACATGCAGGAAGTCAATGGATGCAGGTGGCTCGAGACTATGCTTTGTGGCATTCCTTGGGGGAGGCCTATGTTCAGCAGTGGACTTGTGAAGGGCTGTAATGATGATGATGAACGATGACATTTCTTTCCTTTCTATTGAAATTAGTATGTTTTCCCCCTTCTCTACTGAAATCAGAATATTTTTCGAATTAAAATATAATAACCTCGCGAATCATATTTGGTAAAAATAGCTATTTTCTTCTGATAATTTGTGTTGGTCTAACACATTAATTTGATGTTATGGCCAGAGTCCAGATCGGTCTGAGGTTACACCTCACGTTCCATAAATACTATAATATAGCGCTACCGCGCGATGTTTTTTTATTGGAAATTCACTCTGAACTTTTTAAAATGTAATTTGAAATTTGTTAATAACTAACATCAAGTGACTAATGATGTCCATAAATATAGATTTTTTTATAGAATAAGCATGACAAACGAACACACAATCCACCTTTTTTTATAGAATGGGGTGACATACGCTCGATACGATTAAGAATCAAAATGCAGATGCGTTGTCACCCCTGAGGGCTAACATGGAATGTCTCGTTTCCAGTAAGAAGGGTCTCCGGTTCTCTACATTCGCCATACAAAACACATCAGCATTAAGCTGCTATTTTACGTGGCTCTACCACGTAATAACGTTGTCATCCCTGAGGACCTAAATGGAATCCCTCGTTTCTAGTAATATGGGTCTCCAATTCTACACCCACCATACGAAATACTGCAGCATTAAGCTGCTATTTTCGCTGGTGTTCTGTGAGAGTTATTCGCCCGTCGAGCAGACCCATTCGTGTTACAACCATAATACATATACCTGCAGTATGGATCTACCACGTATTAATAATTTAAAATAATTTGTTAATAAATTGACTAAACTTTACTAATTCACACATAAATATATTGTGTAAATATATTGACTTATATATTTACTTTTTAATAAATTTGTGAATACCTAAATCGGTCAAGTCATTTTCAATGATATTATTTAAAAAGGTCATAACACGGCCCTATATTTATTTAATAACTTGTTTTTTTTTTGTGTCAATAGGGCGTTGTTCTTCAGCAAATTTTCATATTACACAACCGTTCTACTGCCGTGCACTGTAAGCGGTCTCGCCGTGTATTTCGAGCCTCCATATCGAAGAGTTATGGTCGTCAATCTGTTTGTCAATTTGGTGAGATTTATATAAGTTTTACTCATCATTTCCAAATATTACATACAATGTGATTTTTTTTAAATATTATTCTAAGCCAGCGCTTAACTACAATACCACCTGATGGTTAGTGGTGATGTAGCCTAAGTGGTGAAGTGCGCTGACTTAACAAAAGCCTATTCACTCTTGCCTTGAAGAAGAATGACGGTAATTTCTTTTTCTTGGCATTTTTAAAATGAAAAGTAAAGGCGACGAACCGACAAAGTCCAAGTCATATATGCTTAGGTCCATAAACACCCATATCTATCCTCGATTAAGAATTAAAATGCAGATGATAATAAAAGAAGATTTGGGAGTTTAGACGGAAACTTGACCGCCGCGCCGGCACGGCCGATTGATGCTCATATTTTTATTTTGTTTTAAGTGGATTTTCATACCTAAAGTCTGCGCTTGGGAACTATTAGTGGAAACAAAGAAACTGGTGCCCTGTGATAACAACCTTATCTATACAAATAAATAAAATTGGGGTGTCTGTTTGATCAAAATCAACAGCTTTTAACCAAATGCATATGAAAGTATATATACATTCACAGAAAATAGCAAAAAATTTTTGTCTGTCTGTCCGTTTGTTTCGCGCAAAAAAAAATCAAAACCCATGAAGTCCAACCATAATAAATTCCACGACGAAATCTCACGGAAGTTCTCGCGGGGTACAGGTAGATATAAATAGTAGCTAGTGTTGATATAAATCTCAAGTTATTTATAGGGGAGAATTACGTCACACATCAGTATTTTAAATAAAATGAAACTAGTTTTTCTTCAGATTTTGTCGCATTAATTACCTATTATATATTATAATATATTAAAGGTTGGGAAAATATATATATTTTATATATATTTTCCCAACGTTTTTTGTTCAGCAATAGTAACACAATGGTTTCTTTGTTCTATATTATAACATTAAATTTACTTTAATTATCTAGAATCTAAATTACGTCTAGATTTAATGTTTCAAGCTATTTTTAAGATTGATGTTACACAAAAAACATGTATATTGTTACTATTTAAAAATAATTCATTTTCTAATTATTTGCCCAACATGCCTATATTTTGATGCACCAGGTGTATACAATTTTTATGATTGTTTATATGTGAAATTATACAATTAACTATTTGTGGGTTGCATTATGGATAGTTTAAATTATTATTATGATTGCTATTGTCTTATTTTCTAATTTAAATAACTTGGGACTAATTCCAAATTCAATGATGAGTCTATATATCCTATAAAAATATTAAGATAGCATATTTGGTATCAGTCTTAAATTATATTTGGATAGGTAATACCTATCTTTTTATTCAAGCGTATTATTTGTTGGGTATTTTTAGGTAGTTGGTATTACGTGCTTACATCCGACGAAAGTTTAACATTTTAAAATTTAATCTCAGTCTGTTGCATAAGTTGTTTAACGCTTTGGTGAGATTGGTTTCACCATTGTATAGGTGTCTGCATCGTTGCATCATCTAGTGTTTATCAAAACGAACACTGGATGACGTAATTATAAAATATTATCGAAAAGAATTTCCTAATGACACCGCGAAGGTTATCCTACGAAGAAATTATCTGAAGTGACGAGGACTGTCTATTTAAAAACAACATCGTTAAAAAACATTTGTTCAGGATAAACTTCGTCATTACAGCTGCTTTGATACAGTACAAATCCTCGCAAAAGAACACCGATTCTTATCACGGATGATTCCTGATGTTATTGATCAAAAGACATGCTAATTTCAACGTAGAAGATTGCATCTGCTTAGAATCCTTTAATATTAATAAAATTAAATCTCAACCCAAGCATACTACTGCAACACTTCCAGATACTATAATTTTTTTCTGTGTAGATAAGACTAAATTTGGTACTTTTAAGCTAAAATTAATTAACATTAGAAGCACGTTAAACACCTCTGTCCCCCTGAGACCATGCGAAGTACTCGAAACGTCGGAAAAATATAAAAATAAATTAATTATACTTCATAAAATCCGTAATAATTAATATTACATTCAAAACGTTGTAAATATGAGATAGTAATGTTGTAAATATGAGAAAAGGTCTGACGCATTGCTGCATATAGGTTTTTCTAAGAATGATTTCCCCAAGGTCAACATGGTATGCTAGGAAAGTTGGGTGACCGCGGAGCCAAAACCCGCGCATTGGTAATCCTTCCCATCACAAATATTTGTTCAGCGTTTTTGGAAAGATTTTCCATTCAAGTATTGCTCTACTGCGGAATTTTTAAAATCATTTCTTGCACTCACGTTAAGGCGCAGGTTGAGCAAAATGTCGCGCCAGTCGTTATTTGGGCAGTTTTTAGAAGCTATCTACTTTTTATTTAAAAGATATATCAACAAATAAAAAACACATTATATTTCTACATAATCTTGATTCCATAAAAGCTATATCCAATTTTTTTTTAAAGGAATAAATATTAATATAATCTCCTTACAACGAAACCACATAAATGTGAAATTATTATTGATAACATGCATCTCCTCGTAAAGTAAGTATTATTTTATTTTGCGATTTACACCAATGGATAGGCAATTTATTAACGAACATTTCTATAGTAAATTTTTTTTCAAAAGACTAATATTTGATTTTATTAAGAAATTATTTTAAAATCTGGGCATATTTACTGCTCACGGGCTTGGTGAAGTCAGTGAGCGCTGAGCTCTTCGACGTGGAGCTCGTGTCGTTAGAGCGTCGACCAACGCATACGCCACATCATATGAGTCGATAATATTATTACTTATTAGGTTATTTATAGGTAGTATTATTTGTTTGTTTTGGGTATAATTTTTCGTATTAGTTATACATATATTTGTTGTGCTTTTTACTGCGCGATGAAGCTTTTTGCGTGTATTTTCTTTGAAGTAAATGCAAATAAAAAAATGAAGCACCATTAGCATGTAAGGTTCGAATCCATAATTAAAATTTCGACAAATATTATAATTTACACTATAAAAGGCTAATTCAATATTATCACCCAACCACAATATCTTATCAGGTATAGTGCTGCCTCGTTGGTCTAGTGGTTGTAGTAGTGCGACTGCTGATCATGAGGTCCCGGGTTCGAATCCTGGGTCGGGCCAAAAAGTCAGTTATGAGTTTTTCATTTATGTTCTAAGTTATAATTAGTATTACTAAGTTATAGTTTTTTGCTAAAATATAGTATATTATTTATTGCTTGTTTTTTCTTCTTTTTCAAAAAATAATTGAGTACATAAGGTGTTCTATACTTATAATTCGGTAAAAAGTACTAATATACCTACTTTTTACTATAAACTAAAAATTTTTAAAACTAAATTTAACTAAAAAGACTAAACTGACCATTTATTTTTTAACTCATAACAGGACATGGGTTTATTTATACTCTAAAAACTATAACTTTATACAATTAGTGTTCACTATAAAATTATATTCGGTATAGACGGTAATTATTAAATGCAACATATTTTTTTTAATTATTAATTACATTTGTCAGTGGATTAAATTTGCTTTAATAAAGTTGGTGATGATTTTAAATAAGAATAAAATTCTGCTCAAGTTTTTTATTGTTATCTTTGTTAACAACATCGCCTTTAGAACTCTGGAACCGTAAGTGTTTCTTTCAGACGTCCACAATTTATGCAAAATAAAAAAATACTCTTTCTACCGGAGCATTCGTACCAGGTAGACATAAAATATATTCGATTAAAAAAAACTATGTTGAAGATTGTTGACTTTGAATACTTCAATCCAACGAGTTACGGGACAATTTTGTGTCCCGGAGCTTTGTTTGGGGACAATGGGACAGGAGACCGAGAAAAGGGACAGTCCCGTTCAAAACGGGACGTATGGTCACTTTAGCTATAACCCGGCGACCATGAAGCAAATACAAAGTTAGTTTTTGTATTAGCTTCATGGTGGCGCAGTGGCTTAGCAATCTGTTGTTGCGCTGGGGGACGCGGGTTCGAATCCCGCATGGAACAAGTATTTGTATGGCCTACAAATAATTGTTCCGGGTCTGGATGTTTGTCTTTGTGCAATATTTATGTTTGTAAACTGCCTCCACGACACAGGAGAAAATCCTAGTGTGGGGGTAACGTTTTTTTACAACTGAAATTGAAAGATTGAACCCTTATACTTCTTGTTGATTTTTGTATTACCTTTATTAAAGTTACCCTTATGTATAAATAAATATAATTACGTATGTAGAAATAAAATTGATTTTCATCCTCATCAATCATTGGGGTGAGGATAATATCTGCCAGCATAAGTTCAAAAATTTGTAGGTAACTTTTCAATACGTGACACGTAAAAATTAACAATAATCAAAAACACATATGCGAAACATCCTATTTATTTATTTATTTTTTATTGCACCAAATATTTGTACAAAAGCCGAGCTATCTATTTATTTACCTATAGTGAATAGGTATCTTTTAAACTCACAATTTTCAATGCTTCAGTTTTAATATATAATTAATTATAAAATTTCATAATTAGATAATATATGAAAATACATAATTCTAATATACTTAATGCAACTAATATATACAGAATAAAAAAATTAAAATACATTTTAATTTTTTTATTCTGTACATCTTTGTACGCTATGTGTATTTCCATAAAATAGTTTATTGATGTTGAAAAAATAATACTACTTTCGTACAATAGGTGGCGTCTTACATATTTCTTCCGGCGAGCCGCTCGCTACAGCTACGCTTAGGTCAAATGCTCAAGGTCGTTCGCATGGAGTAGCCCCTTAAGTCGTGTTTATTATTTTACATCGCACTAATATGTTATGGAAAGCATATGATTAGAAAAAGGAAACACTAATGAACAAGCATGATGCTACTTTTAATTCAACAACACGTTCTATTATAAAAAAGTCCGATTTTTTTATTGTGGATGTCCTTTAGTCTGTGGTTCATAACTTCTCTGTGTGAGTACACAGCGAAGTTATGAACCATAGACTAA